ATTATAAAAAAGAAGAAAAGTTACCACGTGGTGTAACGACCGGTCAAATATGTGCTGGGGACCCTCAAGGTATTATGGATACCTGTCAGGTAAGCATTGTTCATTAAATGTATTTTCTTTTTTCATTTTCATTTTATACTATTTAATCTTATTATAATATTTTTCTAATTACAGGGTGATTCGGGTGGTCCATTACTGATGAAATTGCCAAATTATAACAACATCGTGCCATATATAGTTGGTTTAACATCTTTTGGTTCAGGCTGTGCAGCTGGTACACCAGGTGTATATACTAGAATTTCAACTTATATTGACTGGATCGAGGATATTGTGTGGAAATAATTTTAGAACTTATTTATTCGTTAAAACAATCAAATTTTAAAAAAAGAAGATAAACTTTGTCTTAACTAAATAGTTCAATGATTCAAAAAAATATATATGTATACCAATTAAAAATATATATCGAATATTTCAGAGTTAAAATAAAATTTGGAAAATCATTTGTATAGAACAATTATTTACTTTTTAATGAGAAACCCTTTACACAAATTGGTATCTGCTTTTGTTTATCAAGTTTGACATATAGCTCCGAGATATATTCACAGCCGTTTTCAAGATCATTGCCTTGCCCATCTATTTAAATTTTCATAAGGTTTCTAAAACTTAGCTCAATCATCCTATTCACATTTTCAGTTCTCTCATAATTAATTTTTTCTTATCAAATACCATCTTTATCTCATCACTTACAACATGCTAGACAAGGCGAATCCTGGGTCTCACAACGGATTACAGCAATAGTTTTTCAAGAAAATCACATTTTTAATTAATTTTATTTTATTAATTATAATTTTAATTAAAAGAACCAGATATTTTATGCTTAATTTTATATTATATTATACTTGTCCAACTTAACAAATACTACATATATATACACATATAGTAACACGGAAATAAAAAATTTATATATATTATATATTTTTAAAAACGATCTTTTCGATCCAATCCAAATAGGAATATATTTTTGTATAAACACCAGGAGCTTTAGGAGCAGCACAAAATTTTCCAAATGATGTTATACCGATCACAAATTTAACACAATTAAATTCTGGTATTTCTATATGTAAAGGTCCTCCTGAATCGCCTTGGCAAGTATCTTTGCCCCCTTTTAAATATCCAGCGCATAATTGCTCATCAACTATACCACGTGGTAAACGTCTTTCGGTTTGATATATATCTTTACAAACTTTCTGATCAATTATATTAAGCTCAACTCTTTGTAAATCTTGAGATTTTGGACCCATAAATTCTGTACGCCCCCAACCAGTAGCTGAGGTGCTTAATATTTCAATATCTGGTAATTGCCATAAACATGCTGGTCGAACTACTTTAGAGAACTTAACTCTTTTGGTCAATTTTAATAAAGCAATATCATGATAATAACTTGATGACTGATATTTTGGATGTAATATTATTAGAAGTATTTTTATATCCTGCTGATAAATGGACGTAATATTTAAATTCACAGCACCCAAACGTACCATATCAGGAGGTTTACTGCAAAAATGAGCAATATTTATAATAAATTTATATATATAATAATAAAGTAGAGCTGTAAGTGTTATGACTTACCTACTGGAGGAAATACAATGCGCAGCAGTTAAAACAAAAAATTCACTAATTAATGTACCGCCACAGCCCCATTTAGTATCGTCACTGTTTTGTGTCCATCCCAAGGCAGCCTATAGCATAAATTGATTTCTTTTAAAACTATATTATATGATTATATTTTTGAATATATATTATAGGATTATATATTGGGTTGTTTTTTTTTTTGCGTTAAATGGACACTATCCATTTTCGTTATTGTAGATCGAGATATATAACAGGTACTTGTAAGAAATGTTAGGTAAATATAGACTTTATGGAAATAAAAAGTAATAAGAGATTAATATAAAGTGAATTTAGTTAAAAAGTACTGAACAGGTTTTGAACCGCTATAGCAGTACAGGGGTTAGTCTAGTCGAAGAGCTAATTCTCAAAGATCAAAACCAAACACGGGCTCAATTTTTTTATTATTTTTTAAGTTTAGCCTTTTTAAAGTGAAGAAATTCATGTTATTAGAATCACATTAAGACCGTAATTATAAAATCTGTTTTAAGAAAATAAAATTCCACTTCTAGTGATATCGGAGTCAATACGAAAACAATACTTTTTTTGTTTTCAAAGTTATATAAAGTTTATATTCGTTACTAAATTTTGTACTTACCATATGTGGATATTCCACTGTGCTTGTTAAATGTCCACCAACTATCATAGGTACACTGGGTACACAAGTTCTACCAGAAAAATTACGTAGTTGACCTATTTTAACATTTCTTATAACTTCATGATACTCTTGACATTCTTAAATAAATAATTATAATTATTAGTTTAAAACATTTTGTATAAAATTAATAAATAAATTATTACACTTACTTTTTGCGCTGATTCTTTCGTGATCAACATGCTTATCCGATAATGGACAACAAATGACAGGTATACTTTTTCTATACGTACAGACATCGATTTTAATATTATGCATTCTATATTCCCGAATTACATGTAAGCATTGATAAGCTAAAATACAATAACCACCACGGCCATCAAACTGGCGTCTACAAAAGCTACCTTCTTCACGACGTAATGGTGCATTTTCATTACCGGGTCCAATGTGGTTCTCATCCACAAATTTAATTTTTTTACCAAACTTATTTGCGAATGGGTTAGGTTGCAACATTGGTACCGGATTATTCGGTTGTACTGAAGACGTAGCTGGTACATTTTCACTCTCGACATTAAGACTATTTGGTAAATGATTGGTTGATTTAATAGTCTTTTTTACGCGTGATAAATTTGAAGCTGTTATCTTCCCAGCAAATTGATTAGTATTGTGTGACCATCCATTTGCCAAGGTGTAGCGTGTGGTGTGATACTGATATATTGGAGATACATTTAATGCTAGAAATATATGAATAAGTTTTATTATATATTTATTATATGTTATAATAATATAATAATTATTTTGTTTTTTATATTACTATATATAATATTTTTTTTAATTATATTTGAGTCTTTTAGGTAATAATATTAAATTGATATTTACCCTGTACAGCTTGTCTTAAAAAATATAACAAAATTAGTAGTAACTTTAGTTTAAAAATGAACATCACTCATACAAAATATAATTTATTTATGATTTTAATTAAACAAAATATAAAATTTTTGATAACATGTGTTTACAAAAACTTAATAAAGAAAAATTACAAAAGAAATAAGTAAGATTAATGTAAGCCTATTATTAACAAAATAATATTTTTGAACATTTTTTTAATCCGTCATGTCGATCACTAGTTATACCCTATAATAACATATATGAAGTTTTGTACGTATATAAAATATATATGGAAGTATACTCGAAGAACCAAATATTAAAATATAAACTGCTTAAATATTTTTAAACGACTGTATTTTATTATTAGCATTCAATGCTTTTATACTATTTTGCTAGGTTACAAAATTCCTGAAACTTATAAACATACCGTGTAAAATGGTCAGACTTCGGCAAGTTTCTTGCAAAGATTCTCACTTTTCAACTGACATATACACATTTCTGTTCGCAACTTAGACGCCAAGTAAATGCATTTCTAAGAATTAGGGACAAAAAATTTTACCTTCAGTTAGTGAACCCTATTATTATAGCAAGTGCTTTTAATATATAATACAAAAGAATATCTACCCTATATGCACATAATTAAAAAAGGTCATAGGACCGTAATTAAGGTTTGCACATATTGCAGATTAGTAATTTTATTGTCTTAATACAATAATCTAATAATATAAAGATTTATATTTGTTATAGATGTGTTTCCTAGATTATTAATAATTATCAAGCATATAAATTTTCGTTAATGTGCGAAATGGTTTGTAAATTTCCAAGCATACGTTTACACTTTCGCAATTAACTCAATAAATGTGATGCAATTAGTGACATATTCTAATTAAAATCTAAATAAAAATATATTAAAATGTTTTGATAAATGTTGTAGTATAGACAGGGTGGTAGTACAAACAGGAAGAAGAAGCTAAGGATAATTTTTCTATACGTAAAATCAGTAACAATGAAAAAAAAATGTAGACAGGAATAAATTCCCCACACAAAAAAAGTAAAAGAACATAAAAAACTACTTCTCAAATGATCAAAAAAGTACAAATACAAATTAGTCAATGAGATGGGTGGGACCCTGTAGTACCCCCAGCTATCAAAGAGTAAAAGTGTCCAGTTGCGCTGACTCGAAAAAAAGGGTCAACATACATACTGCTTACTGTAGACCTGCCTGATACACATACCACAGAAAAGTAACTAAGAAGACATCATCCTATGGAACCTCCTTTTATTATAAAATATAATTATGTTTCTACTCTTGGAGCGATAAATGCCGCTACCTCATTAGTGACGTATAGAAAGACTTGTTTAAGGAAGATCCATAAATGGGCCATAAATGCCGTGACATATAAAAAGACTTGTTCAAGAAAGGTTTTTAAAACTAATTTAAAGTTCATGTAAACATATTCAATTGAAAAAAAATCCATTATAATTATTATAAATCAGTTTGAAATACTTTAACAGGGTTTGAGTCTCAAAAGACACCCATCCTCTATGAAACACTGTTGTATCTCACGGCTAAAGCAATGAGCGTAAAAATAATGTTTATGATAATATACACAAAGCGTTGGAACAGCAAATACTATTATGCTATGGTTTTTTTTATGCTTTTAAGTAATACAAGTAATACATAATATATATTATATAAAATGATATATAACTTTTATTAAATTTCTTTTTTCATAATAATAATATTCATAATAATCATATTCCTATAGTTACCAATTAAGCTAAATGAACCTCTATTCCTGGGATTAGAAAGATGATCGAAAAAAAATGTTGCATATACTACATTAAAAATAGATACTAGTATCTAAAAGGTAGAACACGGAATAGATAGAGATACTTCTATCTCTATGCTCTTCTATAGAGATGTTTTTTCTTTCACCGCAGAACAATTTTCTGTTAATAATAATATTATATTAGTACTACTATAATGATATTATTATTCATAATTTTTTAAAAAATAAAGTCACTTAATATATTATTTATTTTTAAACAATGTTTTCCTCTATTATTTTTCAGTGTAACCTCTCTCAATAACTTCTCCTTTGAAGTATCGAGAGAACTAACAAACAAGAAGTTACTAAAGCAACAGTACTTTGTTTTATTTTTAATCAATACTAACAAGTTTATTTTAAAACAAAACATTACCTTTTTATAAAAATGAATAATTTATATAGTAAATAATAGATTCTGAAAATAATGGGTGCCAAAGCAAAGAAGAAACGGAATAGTA